CTGAAAGAAGAAAAAAAAAAAGTTTTTTTAGTACCATGGTGCCTTCTGCAGTCCTATGAGCCACAGGCAGCAACAGCCTGATTGATCAGTGGATCAATAGGAAGAATTTGAGGCCCAGGCCAGGTTGCTATAGGACTCTCGATAGTTGTTACGGGTATATCACAGGTAAGCCATGTTATTATATCCTGTTCCTCATTCTCCTGAGTTATTATAGCTTTCATTTACATTATTATTATTGGAATTATTATTATTATTATTCAACACTCAACTTTGTTTATATATATATATATATATATATATATATATATATATATATATATATATATATAATATATATATATATATATATATATATATATATGTATATATTTAATATATATATATATTATATATATATATATATATATATATATATATATATATATATATATATATATATATATATATTATAATATTTATATATATATATATATATATATATATATATATATATTATATTATATATATTATATATATATATATATATATATTATATATATATATATATATATATATATATATATATATATATATATATATATATATATATATATATTGTGTGTGTGTGTGTGAGGATAAAATACACCAAATTTGGTCAAATACGCCCACAGAGTTTCCTCTCAGGATGGGAGATGGACTCTTGGCTAACATGGCACATTTTTTTAACACATTATCTCTACACTTCTCCTTCTCTTCTTTCTCTAATTTTTCTTTTTGCATCTGGTAACTTTTTATTTCTCATTTTTTTTATTTTTTTATTTATCCGTTGAGGCGTTACCTAGTTCTTTAATATTTCCTCTTATTTCCTGGTTCTGTTCCTCTTTTCTCTCTGTCTCTCTCTGTCTGTCTGTTTGTCTGTCTGTCTGTTCTCTCTCTCTCTCTCTCTCTCTCTCTCTCTCTCTCTCTCTCTGTTTTTCAAATTTTTTTTTCCATCTTATTTATTTTCCTTCTTCCTCCACTTCTGTCCAGCGAGCTTCCTTGCTGCTGGTGAGGGGCTCTTGATCTAAGGAATTGGATCTATGCTTTATTTCCTTGTATCGAGTCTGAATGCCTTCAATCCCCCCCAGACGCTGTATGACCCATACTGGTTTAGCGCCCCCATGAATGAAATAATAATAATAATAACAACCCTTCATCCTCTCTCTACCTCTTCTTCCTCCTCCTCTTCCTTCTCTTCCTTCTCCTTCCTCCGCTTCATAGTAACAAAATGCACCATCACGCCACTTACGTCGGAAATCCTCCCAGTTAATGGAGACGAGCGACCTTGTTGGCAACACCCGCAGCGCCTCCAGTCAAGGAATATCAATATCACAGCGTTGCCACCTTCCGCCCCGTCATACGCTTGCTACTTTCAGCGATTTCTGCTCCACCCTTGCCAGATGCAGCAGTTCCGCTAAATGTTGCCTTTTCCGCTTCTCTAGATTACTAGATTTTACATTTAAAACTTCCTCCCATAAGGCAGAGCAATTTTTAATACACCTCTGCTAGACGCAGCAACTTCTACTGCATTCTGCTATATGTAGCGCTTTCTCACCTTCCAGATTTTTACTGTGGGCAGAGATGGTAAGAAAACAGCTGTTAAATTGTCACAGATTTCTCACAGTAATGCGGTCTTTTGCAGTCTTTCTGTTGAAAGCTTCGTAGCTCAGTGGTACTGCGTTTTATCTGATGGTGTCCCGTAGCTCGATTGCTAGCGCACTCAACTCACACACTGAGGTCCGTTGTTCGATCTCTGGTACGGCTGGAAACATTAGGAGGTGTTTCCTTAAGGCACCTGCTATCCCTGTTCACCTATCTTTAAAATTGCTACCTGGGTGTTAGTCGACTGGTGTGGGTCGCATCCTGGGGACAAAACTGACCTAATTTACCCGAAATGCTCTGCATAACAAGCGACTTTCTATATAGCAGTATGTCAGTGATGTCAGCTATAGTCTGTATACCTTGTACATGTACTTGTAGAAGAAAAGATTTTTATTATTATTATTATTATTATTATTATTATTATTATTATTATTATTATTATTATTATTATTATTATTATTATTATTATTATTATTATTATTATTATTATTATTTATTATTATTATTATATTATTATTATTATTATTATTATTATTATTATTATTATTATTATTATTATTATTATTAGTTATTATTATTATTATTATTTATTATTATTATTATTATTATTATTATTATTATTATTATTATTATTAGTATTAGTATTATTATTATTATTATTAATTATTATTATTATTAATATTATTATTATTATTATTATTATTATTATTATTATTTCATTATTACCATTATCATTATCATTATTACCATTATTATTATTATTATTATTATTATTATTATTATTATTATTATTATTATTATTATTATTATTGTAAGTATTATCTATTATTACATGCCAGGATTATCTACCACTGTAGGACACTTAAGGGTTTGGCGCTTCCCATAAAAAATAATATAAAAGAAAAGTAACTCCGGGAAATGGTTGTATCGGCAGTGCCAGGCACTCAGGCAGTGCCAGGCACTCAGGCACTCACCCTCCAAAGGATTTTACGGTCTGATAAATAACATTAAGTTTACGGCTGTGGACCAGAGCCTTGGACTAGGTCCCTGAACCACGGCCGAAGACCTCAACTTTCGGATCTGATGCGAAAATAGTTTTAGTAAACAAATATATATAATATATATATATATATATATATATATATATATATTATATATATATATATATATATATATATATATATATATATATATTTAAGGTCATTACGCTCAACACATCCTTTAAATTCATGGGAAGTATTGTGAAAGATGAAGTGAGTCATAGAAATGATGAGGGGAAAAGGGTTAGTGGTGTACTTAGGAGTCTTTGGAGACAAAAACCTTGTCCATGGAAGCAAAGAGGGGAATGTATGAGAGTATAGTTATACCAACGCTCTTATATGAGTGTGAAGCACGGGTGGTGAATGTTGTAACAAGGAGAAGGCTGGAGGTAGCGGAGATGCCATGTCTGAGCAATGTGTGGTGTCAATATAATGCAGAGAATTCGTAGTTTGGAAATTAGGAGGAGGTGCGGGATTACCAAGACTATTATCCAGAGGGCTGAGGAGGGGTTGGTGAGGTGGTAGAATGACTTCGAGAGTGTATAAATCTGTAGTGAATGGAAGGCGGGCTAGGGGTGGGCCTAGGAGAGGTTGGAGAGAGGGGGTAAAGGAGGTTTTGTGTGTGAGGGGCTTGGTCTTCCAGCAAGCGTGCCTGAGTGTGTTAGAAGCAAATGGAGACAAATGGTTTTTAATACTTGACATGCTGTTGGAGTGTGAGCAAGGTAACATTTTTGATGGGATTCAAGATTTCCGGCATGCCAGACTTGAGTCCTGGAGATGGGAAGTACAGTGCCTGCACTCTGAAGGAGAGGTGTTAATGTTGCGATTTTATAACTGTAGTGTAAGCTCGCCTCTTGTAAGACAGTGATGGAGCGAATGATGGTGAAAGTTTTTCTTTTTCGGCCCTCCATGCCTAGGTGGGAAACGGCCGATGTGTTAGTAAAAAAAATAAAAAATATATTATAATTTTTTTAATTGTTGTTACTGTTGTTTTCATGGGGAAACGTTAAATCTGTATGGGCTATACAGCGCTAATGGCTTGGCAGGTAATTAGGTTTGATGCTTTGAAGAAGTGTGCAGCTCAAAATCTTAGGATCACGAACCCCTCTTCTATTCTTAAAGGGACTCGACTTGGGAAGTCCACTATGGGCTGGAGGGAAACTATATTTATATCCAATGAACCGATAATTCTCCCCCTGGCAATTATAAGTGGCCGTGAAGTTTTAAACCGGCTCTCTGAGGGGTGCCATGAATGTTCCTTTGATCCCTGTTCCAAAAAGCAACTTGGACTGGTGGCTAAAGGTTACGTATAGCCTCAATGACCCTCGTGTAGTAGATAGGTTTCAAATTAAATTGACCAGCCATTTACAGAAACAATAGTTTGATCTTAGCCAGCCAATTAGAGAAAAGAATAGTTTGATCTAATTACACACAGTGTTGGACAATGGGAATCTAAGGTGTAATTTGGTCTGTATCACAGTAATACTCCTGGAAAATACACCTGGCAATCTTCAGTAACAAAAATATACTTAATATATTAGTATGGTATGCAATACCACAAATTAATGATATACACATGCGCAACACTTGGGTAACTTAATTCTAGCCATTAATGACACCCAGATGTTGCAATGGTGTCTTATTCATCAAGAATGCAGTTACACATATCAGGGTGACTGACTCCCAGTTGAATTTAAAATAAAACATAGAATGCAGAGAGTCCTCTGAAGAACTGGTGTTTCAGTACACGAAAGCGCCGAAGACTTAGATATACAAGCCAAGGATAAGACTAGGATTAATAAATCAAGGATAACAGAATTTACTTAACAAGAAACTGATGATATATCAACCAAATAATAACGAGTATTTTTTAAGTGGTAAAAATATTCTTCAAAATTTCCATGAGATTATATCTGCAAATTGTATATTATACATTAGCTATTTGAGGAAGTTGTATTATGCGTATTAACTGCAATAGCTTGAGCGATGTAATTATGTCCATTGGGGTCAGATACAGACCCATTGTGACCTCTCTAATCATTTTTTTGAGGTATTTTTCACAGGATGGGCAGCGGGTGCGCAATAACCAGCAGCTCAGCCGGAACAACCAAGAGTAATATAGTGAAACGTGGATTGCAGATCCCGTAGACTTTTAGACCTATTCCTGGACGAGAGGTTGACAGAATAAACTGACATATGTTTACCTGGAGAGTTTACCTGGAGAGTTTACCTGGAGAGAGTTCCGGGGGTCAACGCCCCCGCGGCCCGGTCTGTGACAGTTCTTCGCTGTGAGCAGAGTTTTGTAAATAGAGTTCATAGAGCTCTATGACGAGCCAAAGG